GCAAATGGGGGGCATGACTAAGTCGGGTAGCGAGTTAGTGCTGAGGGTTATGGAAAGAATAAAGCAGTGGAACAGGCCCTAGGGATGCTCGGGAGGAGAGGCATGTAAAACACTGAGGGCAAGGCAGGCTCTAGATAAAGGGGAATGATGAGCTATATGGATTTCTGAGAAAAGATGTTCCAGGGAGCGAGCCCTGCCGGGTCAGAGGTCCTGAGGTAGAACCGCACCCGGCACATTTGAGAAACAGGACAGTGGCTGTGTGTAGGAGTGTAAGGGGAAGGACCTAAGGACAGAGGGTTGCTGCTGAGACAGACTCGTTGAATGGCTGGAGCATTCATTAGAGGGTTTTAAAGTTCAGAATGATGTGTTGACACATGCATCACTGCACAAGAGGGTTTTAAATTTCTAAAAATTTAAAAATGTTTTTGGCGCTAGGGATTAAATCCAGGGCGTCCCCACTGAGCTAAGAGACTGGATCAAGAAACTCTTAAAGATGACAGTGAGATGTTTTTAAATTTTTAAAATTTTAAGACAGGGCTGGGGATTTAGCTCAGCGGCAAAAGCACCTGCCTAGCAAGTGCAAGGTCGTGAGTTCGGTTCCTGGTACCGGAGAAAAACCAAAAAAAAAAAAAAATTTTAAGACAGGGTCTTAAAGGGTCTCACTGAGTTTCTAAGTTACCTAGGCTGGGTTTGAACTTGTTGTGATTGTCCTGCCTCAGCCTCCTGGAGTTCTGGGATTATAGGCACGTGCCACCATGCCCAGTTCTATTAGCAGGTTTGAGTAGAGGAGAGAAACGTCCAGGGCAGTCTGAACATGACGCATGGGTTTCTTTTCAGGTTTTTGACTACCATGGCCTGTACTTCTTGGGCATACCAGTTAGGGGATAAAACTGCTCTCCATGGCAGTAATACAACTATATCTCCCCTGCTTTTTTTTTTTTTTTTTTGAGACAAGTTCTCGCTATGCAGTTCAGGCTGGCCTTGAACTCACTTTGTAGCCCAGACTGGTCTCAAACTCGAAACGATCCTCCTGCCTCAGCCTCCCAAACACTGGGATTATAGGTATGCACCACTATGCCTGGCTGAACTATATCTTCCTGACTCTGCCTGTGTCTGCTACGTCAGAAGTCTAGCTTGTCCTAACATTTATGGAAACAAATTCAGAAAGTCATTGACCTGGCATCTTCAAGTGCCCCTTAATCCAGTCTTCCAAGCTGTCATGATCATTTGCTCTTCCCTTTCCTCCTGCTCTGGTTGATGTGGGGAAGTTTTCACTGAATTCCACCATTCCAAAATGCTGCAATGTTCTGTATTCTTCTTCTGAATCTCCATGCCAGGTTATGTTAGTTTAACTCATGGCAACAGTCGAGGATTTTAGGTGCAAACAGCACCACCTACTCTAGCTACTGAGAGCAGAAGGGGAGTTTGTGGAAGGAGAGCTTACGGAACGTGAAGGACAGGGAAGCATGCTATGAGCAACACAGCCAGAAACAGAACCCGGCTCTGTGGACTGATAGCTTACTCTCCCACTCCCTCTGGGCCATGTGGCTCCTCCAGCTGCTGCTGGTGACTTCTAAGATCCTTGCTGCTTTGAGAGCTAGTTGTCAGGTGGTCATGCGCTACATTCTGCCAGAATAGCTCCCATATGGTTCTTTTCTCTTCACCTCACTTTCTTCCATGTTGGATTCTTGTGGCTATGCTCAGGCTGCAAAGGAGCCTGGGAAATCCAGGTTTGGCTTCCTGTTGTACTGGTGGTAACTTTCTCGACTCATGAAGGCTGTTCAAACAGTTCTGGGTGCCAGAAATTATGAAAAATATCCTCGGCACTCACTGTTCAGGTTGGTGGGTCTGTTCTGTCTTCAACAACGACTTTGAAATGGTGATAATGTCTTCCACCCCTCATTAATGCTTTAGGCTCCCATCATCTTACACAGATTTATTATTACAATTAAAAAATTACTAGATGGAAGAAAAAGAGCCCACAAAGAAGGCTTACATTTTCAGAATACTTTTTCTTTTTGTTGAAGAAGAATATGCCCACAATTTTAAAAAGTCAAGTAGTGCTAGAAGACTTAAAAATTATCCAGATGCATCTGCTTAAAAGCCCTTCTCCATCTCTCCAGAAGTACTATTAGCATTTAATCCTTTTTCTTCTGATATTCACCTCCAGATTTCTCCATACTATGGATACACTACTCTCTCCTAATTCATTACTTGCAGATCCGGTTTATTATAGGGAGATGAGAATTTTAAATCTCTCCTTATCCTCCTGATATAATTAGAGCAGGATATAACTATAGTAAAATCCGTATTTTCTGTTTTTAGTATATTGCTCATTCCTGGATTAAGAGTGCACTATTTTATTTCCTCAAATAATTTATTTTTCATAAAATTAATACTGATCTCATTAATTTTCTCTTCTCTTACTTTCTGGAATCTCTGACTAAATCTTAAATCTTGTTGTCACAGTTTAGTAAAATTTCACTCAGTTCAGTTTTACACACACACACACACATACACACACACCACTGCTTCTTCCCCTGTTCAGCTATAACTACTTGTCCTCTGACGGATCACAACCAGTGATCCTCCTGTGGCTTCCGGGCAGCCATTTTGAGCCATCCCTTTGCTTTTCTCCCATCTTGAATTTCCAGTTGCTTGGACTCTGTGCCCTCTTTTCCTCGGTTAACTTCATTTTTGTGAAGCACATTTTCCTGAGAAAGTTTGCCTGAGAATGAGAGATATATTTTATGAGACTCTTTCAATCTACTTTCAAACTGACCAATAGTTTAAATGGTTACAGAATTTGATGTTGGAAACCTTTTCTCTTAGTGTGTGAGGTATTCCTCTTCTTTCCCATACCTCCTAGTACCTCTATTTAAAAATTGGATGGTATTGTCAGTCCCAATTTTTCATCTGTGACTTGTTTTTCTCTCTCTGGAAGCATTTAAGATTTTTAGGAGGATCTTTTCTTCATAGGTTTCTAAAATTTCATAAATGAAACTCATTCATTGTTTTGGATACTTGGTGGGCTCTTTTGGTCTGAATAATTATATCCTTCATTCCTGAAAATTTTTCTCACAATATATTTTGATAATTTCTCCATACCAATTAATTTTTTTGTTTTTTGTTTTTTAACTTCCTATTTGGCAGATATTCTGCGCTTGGATTGATCTTCTGCTTAATTTTTTTCCCCTTTCCTTTCCTAGAGTTTATAGCTTCATAGTTTTGTTGAATAATTTAAAAAATATGGGTGTAATACTTAAATTTCTAAGAGCTTATTCTTATTTTCTGATTGCTAGCTTTGTAAGGATAGCATACATACTTCCTCATCTTCTGAAGTCATTAATTATCATTCATTATAATTTTCCTCAGAATTTTCTCTTGATTCTTGCTCTATTTTCTCTTTCACCTTCTCTCCCTCTTTCCCTTTTCTTTTCTCTCCTTTTTCCCCATTTGTTCTTTTAGTCTCCACCCTTCAAGACATCAGTTTTCCCCAAATCCATTCACATTTAAGAGTGGAGCCCTAGATATAAGCATGAAATCCTGTTAGCCTGATTTGAAACTGTTTTATTTTTATTTATTTGTTTTTCCCTTTCTCTTTAAAAAAAAGAGTGGGGCACTAACAGCTAATTAGACTTGGCCTGGTCTTGTTGACTCATAGGACTTTCATGTGGGGAAATCGGTTGCCCAGCCAGATTGCACCAAATGCCGTTGTTTGTGGGACGCTCCCTTCTCCTTATAGGTGGTGTATTTTCTTAAATCTTCTTGGACAGTGTAAAGCTAGATGGCAGTGTTATAAACCTGGAGAACAGAGAATTCAACTGTGGCATACAGTGTTGGATTAGCTCTTTTTTAAAATTAATTTTATTGGTACACATTTGATATAAATAATGATCACATTCAACATAGGCAGTTTGTAGCTGTATGTGACATATCTTGGTTCTTTTTCCCATTCCCCTCCTCTCTCTCCCACTCTCCCTCCCCTCCTCATTTACAAGAGCTTTGTTTCCATTTTTTCCTTGTATTCTCTTGTTTTTCTTTCCCTCCCCTTCTCCCTCCCCTCTCCTTCCTATTTGAACATTCTTGTGGTACTTCCTAATATCTGCTCTCTATTTTGATACTTATTTGTGCTTTTGGTTTCTAATACAAGAGAAACAACATGATACTTAAACCTGTGTGTCCGATTTATTTCACTTAACAGTTTGATCTCAAGGTGCACAGCCTTTGGTTAATTCTTGCCGGTGTAGGCTTGATAACTTCTCCATACCCTCCTCTGTGCATGGTGTCTGTCAGACAGGAGTCAAACAGGTTCATTTGTCCAGAGAAACTCCATCTCATCTCCTGATGGGATGGGAGAGTGTGGCTATCTTACAGGACTCAATGATGGTGACTCCAATTCCTTAGTTTTTCTTTGGTCCTTCATGATAAATTAGTTCTCTTTTCATTGTTATTTCCTTCTAAAGCACTTTAGTTTGAATTTATCCTGTCTCAGTAAACCATTTGCTTTCCTCTATTTGCTTTCTGGATTTATGTATTATGGCGCTGGGTTACAGATGTCTTCTAGTCTCAGGAAAGATGGAGTTCATGTTCTTTTTGTTGCCCTCCTTGTTTTATAGTAATAAGTTCCCTTTATGACAAGGACATTGTGTATCAGAAAAGGACTGTGTGTTACCTACATTTGTTTTAAAAAGCTTCCCCAGAGCAAGGGTGACAATATAATTTATTACCTGAACTAGGCCGCCACAGAAGTAACTTGGAAGAAGGAAGAGGGTTACTTGTTGACACAATAGGTGTAAACTAGAACTCTTCTGGGAAACCTGTGGTATATGATCGTCTAAAATCACACTCAATCTCTTTCAGTCTTTTCAGTACCAGCTGCATAATGTATGTAATATAT